TTCGGAGTGGTGATGGAGCGTGTGTGTGTGTGTGTGTGTGTGTGTGTGTGTGTGTGTGTGTGTGTGTGTGTGTGTGTGTGTGTGTGTGTGTGTGTGTGTGTGTGTGTGTGTGTGTGTGTGTGTGTGTGTGTGTGTGTGTGTGTGTGTGTGTGTGTGTGTGTGTGTGTGTGTGTGTGTGTGTGTGTGTGTGTGTGTGTGTGTGTGTGTGTGTGTGTGTGGTGTGTGTGTGTGTGTGTGTGGTGTGTGTGTGTGTGGTGTGTGGGGGGGCTGTCAGCCCGGCCAAGTGGTAATCTATTTTTAACTACCAAAGCTGGATATTTACTCTTAACTTTTTATATGTGCAATTTGAGTTCTCCCTTGGTCCTTTATATAGTTCCTGCGGACTGGGGCTTCTAGTATAACCTCTGACAAGCTGTTCCTCTCAGCTCCCTGCTTGTTGAAAGCAGCTGACACCCTTCTGTTAATGATTGCAAGGGTAGTGTGCCGAGTGGGCCCCAGTGGGGAGGCAGCACCAAGCAGGATATAGACTGTGAATCAATGGTGGTCTGGTCAGCTGGTCTCCCTGCAACTCCCTGTCCCTACAAGGTTCAAATAGTAATCATGTTGTAATGTTGCTGGTATTTTTTTTTGTTGTTGTTAAGATTTATTTATTTTTATTGGAAAGGCAGATGCATAGAGAGGAGGAGAGACAGAGAGGAAGGTGTTCTTTCCAGGTGACTGCAATGGCCGCTGCTGCTCCGATCTGAAGCCAGGAGCCAGGAACTTCTTTCCGGGTTTCCCATGAGGGTGGAGGGTCCCAATGCTCTGGGCCGTCCTTGACTGTTTTCCTAGGCCACAAGCAGGGATTAGAACCGGCACCCATATGGGATCCTGGCACATCCAAGGCAAGGACCTTAACCGCTACACTAACGGGCCGAGCCCTGATATTTATTTTTTTTAATACTTTGGTACATTACATGATTAAAAATGACACATGCCTCCCAAGGATGGTGAGGAAAGTTGCAACGTTGAGCTCCAAAGAAGTGCAGGAGGGATGTAACTGTGAAAGTATCCGATGAAACAGGGGAAGCAGAGTTGCTGGTTCACATGGAAACATTTCCCCTGCCCCCAACCCACCCTAAGACTGTGGCAAAATCTGGTTACAGATACACCCACTAAAGAAACAAATGTACTGCCCGTGTAAGCATGTGTCAACACAAGGTGGCTTGTTCTGGGAAGCCACAGAGGCACACCAATGTCCCCTTTTCAGTGTAAACCTGTGGAGGGCAAGTTGGGAGGCTAAGATGGGGAGTGGCTGATGGAGCCTAGCAATGGTTAGTTCACAGTTCAAAGGACCATGGCTCCTTCCTGCGCAGGTATATAGCTCCCCCCATGGTGTGGCTGCGATCCTCTGCAATGCAACACGACATCTGTGAGTGATCTGTGGAGGTGCAACATTTCGACAAATCACAACCACAGTTGTGTATTTCTATGCAACTGCAGTTAATCTGGTTGATAGCCAGAACACTGACTTTGCAACCTTTGGGAAACACCATGGGGTCTTAGGAGAAGCTGTGGACTGTTCCCCATGCAACAACCGGCGGGGCAGGCGCGCTTCTTGGCACGGTCCTGGTGATGCCAAATGTACAAAGGAGGGAACCTCGTCCATGAAGGGAGATCAAACCTTCCGTTCCTCTCTCTCACCCCTGCCTTGGCTTACTCTGAGCAACTGTCCCCAAACGTGTAAGCTTAATTTCCCTTTCTGGAGTTAAGAGTCTTCAAGGCTTGGCCCATTTTGTACTTCTGCCTGGGTTGGTCTCCTTCCCCCATCTCAGTGCTCTCTCTCTCTCTCTCTCTCTCTCTCTCTCTCTCTCTCTCTCTTTATTGGTGGGTGGGGCCAAACTCTGGAGACAGCAGGTCTGGGCCATTCCCGGTTCTGACCCTCTGGGGCATCTTCCTTCTGGCAATTCTCTCCCATCTGCTTTCCTCTTGTTGGGCTTTTAGAAAGAACTAGAAACAGTCAGAGAAGGGAAAAGAAACCACACACACAAATAGGACGCCGTGGACCGGAACCAGCATGGCCAAAAGAGGGCAGGCGTGCCTGGATTTGTGTGTGCGTGTAAGTGCGTGTGTATACACATTCACACGTGGTCTCACATCATGGAAGAAACTCGTTGTATTGGCAACAGATGGTGGCAGGGGAAGCCCCCCTCTCGTTGGCCAGCGGGCCGCGTGTTGGTTGTACTGCGTCCACGATTTGCTCATTCCTTGGGCATTTTAAGGGGCTGCGCCCTGCCCTTTGATTTGGCGCTTAGTGCTGGGGCCTTTCTGGGGGGTGGGGGCGCGTGGCTCTCCCTTGGAGCCCTGAGCCCCCAACATGGCTCTGTCCTTCCGGAGGCCTTCAGCACGTTTGTCCAGCTGGCCTGACTTTAGGGCTCTGGCGCTCTCACTCCAGCCCGACCTTCCCCTGGATTCCAAGGGGCAAAAGCCGAGGGGGGGTGGGGGAGGCAGGCCCGGTGCCGTATTTCTCCAACCTAAAGCTCCAGGCGCCCTGCTTCAGGTTGCAAATCCAGCCTCCACAATTTTTATTACTTTCTTCATTTTTAAGTTCATTTGACTGAAGTTCAGTTGCCATATCGGGAAATTCAGACTTTCATGGTGCTCCCAGTTGTCCTCCATCTCCAGGATTCAAGGCATTCGCGCAAGACGAGCCTTTTGTGCTTGGCTCTCTCCCAAGACATTTTCGGATTCATTCAGCTCCTGGCTGTTCCCTGTGGACGAGGAACTCAAGATGTCACTCCGGGCGGATGGTGTTTGCAGGGGGAACTGGGGTCCCTCAGCCTGGGCATGGGCTCTCTCCAGGCTGTCCCCTCCCAGAACCGCCCTGGCGGCCTCAGGCACCACCCAGATGGCCATGGGGCCATCACCGGATCGCCGCCCCCTTAACAGCTGCCCCCTTGCCTTCCAGCCCCCTCCCTAACCGCCCCAAGAACACACACACACACACACACACACACACACACACACACTCCCTCCGCAAGGGAGATTTCAGATCCATTCCATGCCACGCATCCAACGATACACAATGTGTGTTGTGGACCACAACCAGGCAGTCCCTCAGCAAACGAAGGAGAAAACAAACAAACAAAAAAAGATTAGGGGGGAGGGGGCCTAGACGTCAGCAGCCGTGGAGAGCAGACTGCGTGGAGCCAGGAATTGAAAATGAAAAAAAAATTTTTTTTAAAATTTACGCAAAAAGCCACCCGGGGCTCCTCGCGCCCGGGGTTTCGGAAGTCGCCCCACGGCTGCCCGAGGGTCGTCCATCTCTCCAGCGGCCTGCGGCGGCGGGGAGGAGGCCGCGGCGAGGAGGGGAGGGAGCACACAAAAGCGGGCCTTGCCGAGAGGGCTAATGTTTCCTGTTTGCCTGGAACCCCTCCCCCAGCCCCCCTCTCCGGACTCGGGCGGAAGTGAGTTTGCTCCTTCGGAGATTAAAAGGATTCCGAATTCCGATCAGTCCCCAATAACCGGCGTCCTGCGAGGAGGAGGAAGAGGCGGCAAAGCGGAGAAAGAGGGGGACGCGCGCGCGCCGGCGCACACTCCACGGCAGCCCTAATTAGGGGTGTGGGAGAAGAGTTGTGCAAAAAGCCCCCCAGGACAGCACGGGTGGAGGGGCCGGAGCCACCCGTGTCCCACTCGGGCGACTCGTCGCGGAGCGAAGGATGACGCAGAAGAGAGCCGGAGGCTTGGGCCACGCGGCTCCAGGACTCTCCGCGCGGGACCGTTGCGGGTTCCACTGATTTTTTTTTTCCCCAGCGCGCCAGGGAGAAGGCTAGGTCCCCGAGGCTCGGGATCGGAGGGGGGACCGCGGCGAGGACGAAATGGCCCGATGACAAAGGAAATGTGATCCCTCTTCGCTGCCAAGGTTTCAGAGAGGACGGACGCGAGGAGGAGGAGGAGGACGACGACGACGAGGAGGAGGGGCGCGGGGCGCGCGCGGAGCTCGGATAGCATTGCACGACGGCCCGCGCGGAGCGGGCAGCGGGTACATCTAATATCTTCCTGCCGATGAATAATTCAGGGCGGCCCGCGGGGACCTGCGGCCCCGCGCTCTAGGAGCGGCTGAAGCCGAGAGGAAGGAGCGCGCGGGCGCGCGCGCAGGAGGCGCCCCGGTCCGGCGAGGCGGAGCGGGGGCGGAGGGGCCACGGAGCCACGCGGGACCCCGGGCAGCGTGTGCGGGTTGAACTCGGGCGGCCGCGGCCCGTTTCGGCGGGGCGCGCAGGAGCTTCGGAGCGCGTGGGCCGCGCGTGCGTAGTGCGCGCGTGCGGCGGGGCCCCCACGAGCTGCAGCTGCGGGCTGGGGCCGCCCGCCCTGGCAGGGGAGGCCGCGCCGGGCCGTGCCCGAGCCCCGGGCCACCCACGAGCCCCTGGCCACTGCGTCATGCGGCGGGGCGGCCGGCGTCGCGCGGGGGGACGCCGGCTCGGAGAGGTGCTGTTGCTCCCGCTTTTATTAGTTGGGGGCGCCTTCCCAAGAAGAGATTGACTCCGTTGAAGAAGGAAAAAAAAAAAAAGCACACCACCACCACCACCAAATCAAAACTCATCAGGCCAAATTTCTGCTTTCGCCCGGACTGGGATTGCACACTACGTATTCTGCCTTTTTTTTTTTTTTTTTGGTGGGGGGGCAAGGGAAAGGGGGAACCTTGTCTAGGCCGGCGCAAGGCGAAGCCCCGGCTGCTCCAGGGAGCCCTCTGACCCCCCGTGTCCCTAGCTCGCCGTTTGCGTGCTTGTTGGGGCTTGTTCCGGCTTTCCCGCTTCGGAAGGCACGCGGCCCCCGCGACCTCCGGCAGGAATCCGCGTCGCCGCTGGGCAGTGGCATTTAATGCCCGCGGGGTTGGGAGCAGCAGCAGCAGCAGCAGCCGCGCGCGGGCCGCGCCTCTCTGGTGCCGACACCCAGGTCGCAGGCCTAATCGATGCGTTTTTCTGAGTGAGTCGGCGGCTCCCCCACCCACCTCGTCCGCTTTCGCCTCCTCCTCTACCTCCTCCTCTTCCTCTCTGGTCTCCTCCCTCCTCCGGGACGGGTTTCAAATGGCCTCGTTCGCCGAGACCGACTTCCAGATCTGCTTGCTGTGCAAGGAGATGTGCGGTTCGCCCGCACCTCTCTCCTCCAACTCGTCTGCCTCCTCTTCGTCCTCACAGACGTCCACGTCGTCCGCAGGCGGCGGGGGCCCCGGAGCCGCGGCGCGCCGTCTGCACGTCCTGCCCTGCCTGCACGCCTTCTGCCGCCCCTGCCTCGAGACGCACCGGCTGCCGGCCGCGGCCAGTAGCGCTCCGGGAGAGCCGCTGAAGCTGTTGTGTCCAGTGTGCGACCAGAAGGTCGTGCTGGCCGAGGCGGCAGGCATGGACTCGCTGCCTTCGTCCGCCTTCCTCCTCAGCAACCTGCTGGACGCCGTGGTGGCCACCGCCGACGAACCGCAGCCCAAGAACGGGCGCGCCGGTGCCCCCGCGGGCGCAGGAGGCCACAGCAACCACCGGCACCACCCGCATCCGCGCGCGCCCGCCTCCGCGCCTCCGCTCCCGCCGCCGTCGGCACCGGTGCTACCATCACAGCAAAGCGCCCCTTCCCGCTCCGCTGCTCCGGGCGGCCCGACTGCGTCCCAGTCGGCGCTGCTGCTGCGCCGCCCTCACGGCTGCAGCTCCTGCGACGAGGGCAACGCGGCCTCCTCGCGGTGCCTGGACTGCCAGGAACACCTGTGCGACAACTGCGTCCGCGCGCACCAGCGCGTGCGGCTCACCAAGGACCACTTCATCGAGCGCGGCCCGCCGGGGCCCGCCGCCGCCGCTGCAGCCGCCGCCGCCGCCGCGGCGCAACAGCTCGGGCTCGCGCCGCCCTTCCCCAGCGCTCCCTTCTCCATCCTCTCGGTGTTCCCCGAGCGCCTCGGCTTCTGCCAGCACCACGAGGACGAGGTGAGTTCGCTGGGTGGCTACGAGGGGGGCGGGGGACGCCGGCCCAGGGCCGTGTGTGTTGGGGTGTGTGTCCACCGGGTATCCGTGTGTGCGTTCGTGCCGGGGACTCCCCTCCGCGCGTGAGGGGACCCCGGGAGCGTTATCTTTTCCCTTCACCCCTCTTTGCGTGGCAGTTGTTGCTAACCCTAGTATGTTCGTGACCTGGAAGAGTATGGAAGACTCTTAGGGTGCTAAAGCGTGGGGGTGTCCCCGACTTTTTTCCATATTGCACTTTTTTTTTTTTTTCTCCCTGTGAGGGCCAAATGTGGCAATCGTTGTCTCTAGTTAAGGCACGATCTGGAAGAGGTATGAGTTTGTGTCTCCTGTGCAGGAAACTGAGCCCCCCGGTGCATGTTCTGTTTCATTTGTTTAAAGAGAAAAAAAAAACCTTGCAAATTGTTGCTGCGAAGGAGGGCGCGAGCCTGGCCGCCGAGGTTTTTGCATGTGTGGGTAGGATGTATGTACCAGGTTAGTAGACCTGGTTTTCGCGTGCGCCGGTAGAGAGGACAAGGACAATTTTTTTCCTTTTTTCTTTTTGGTCTTAGTCTGGACTGCGGGGCAGCCCAGCCGTCGAACCGCTCCCCCCACCCCCCGCCCCCCCGGTGGCGAGGAGAAGGGGGACCCTGTGTGCGGTCCTTTGCTCCGCCACTGTTTCCAGTGCTGTAGAAACAGTGTATTCTGGCCCCTGAGCTTGTCTACTTGGAATTAACAGTTGGGCCTCTTGGGCGCCAGCAGTCTCACCCCAAGCTGCCAGCCAAGTGGGGGTGAGCTTGCCCAGTGCCCGCCCCCAGCTGCGTCAACCCCCCCCCCCCCCGCTTGGATCCCCCCCATCTTGGGGCTTGGGGCAAACCTTGGCTGCTTTACACACGGTGTGCCCGACTCTTCCTCCTCCTCTAGCTTGTTACTGAAAGAGCGGGGCACCAAAGTGTTGGGGAGCAGATTCTGCTGCGGTTGGGTAATTTGTGCCATCAATATGTAGACTGGATGTGTGGGAGCCCTGGAAGAGCTGAGTCTCCTGCTGAGCACCTCCTCACCTGTTACTTGCAGCGGGCATCGGAGCAGTTGCCTGGTGGCCTTAAACCCACTTCTCCGATGGGAAAAAAAGTTGAAATTTAATCTAGCTGGAGTGGAAAAAGGTCCCTTCTCCATATTGTCCTTCGTTTCCTAGGCTTAGAATGCAGTTGGCAGTTTTTCCCTGATTCTTTCTGTACCTTTAGAAAAATGAACGGTTAAGCTCTAAATACGGATCCAAACCTTAGGAATGAAAAAATGGAGCCAGTTTCCTTGCTGATTAGGATCCAGTGTATGGGGAGAGGGGTGGGATGGAGTGGGGCAAGAGGAGAGAGAAGACCCCCAGGGTGCAAGAGAATGTGATTCTCTAGGGAAGGGCACTGAATTTCTCTATGAGTTATAGTCATGCTCCAAGTTAAAGCTACACCCTTCCTAATATTTGGGCGGTGGATGTGGATGCGTGGGGTTGAGTCAGAATTCATTTTTGCAGTGACAAAGGCACTCGGACCCCATGGAAGAGCGAGCAGTTGCCCTTCCTTGCTGGCTACCCTCTGATCTGTGTAAAGCCGGGCTGGAGCTGTTTTGGCAAGCACAGTCGTCTTATTAAACGAAATTAGCTTTAGCGTGAAAAGTTTGCTCCGTTTTAGCAAACTTTTACCTCCTTCACTCATACTGTGTTTAAAGATGACAGATGGCCACCACTTGGTAGAGAAGGTGGTATTTTGCTCCCACACACTATCCAGAGTCTTCCTCTGCTTGGACAGCCACTTCTACAGCCTTCCTTGCCAGGGTACTGCCTGGCTCAGCCATTTTGGAGCCCCCCTCCCCTCCTTTCCACTGGCCCAGCAGCCCGTGGTTAGTTTGTGGCCCCTGAGCACCTGTGCTTCCAGTGTTAAAATCCGCTTGTGGCAACAGCTCTATGGGGTGATTTGGGAGCGCCCTTTTCTTTCTGGGAGCTTCTGGGACAATCTGACACTGACAAGGTAGAGGCAGGACCCACTGGTGTGGAAGCAGCCCTCCTGACTCCCACCTCCGCACCAGCCGGGGCTGTGTAGGGTCAGCCTGCCGACTCAGCCTCCAAGGAGGAACTTGTATTTTGCAGTGTGATGACATTTGCTTATTGCCATTCTCTAGTCCCCAACTTCAGTAGGCTGTGCCTAGGGAGTGGATCTGGCTCTGCAACCACAGGCTGGGTGCCCTGGCAGGGCTGTTGGGAGAGTAGGGATTTGGAAGCTGCTCGATCTGTGGGGTCAGCTCTGGTTGACTCTCTGGGTTGGCCAAGGAGCACCCGCCTTCAGCTTTGTGTTAGGGATAGTGTGTTCGCCTTGAGCTGGCTGCTCACAGGTGCCCTTCAATGTTTCTTTTCTGTTGGGTGGGAGTGGAAGGCTCTTTGCTGCTTTGGGGCAACTCTGTGAGGGTGAGTGTTGGGTCTGAACTGAGCTTTTATGACTCCTGGACCCAGAGGTCCCCAAGAAATGCTGTGTTGCTGGTGACCAGGAGCCATTGGTGTGATGTTGCTGTCATCTAGAGCCAGAGGGAAAAACAATATTGTCATGCAGGCAGGGCTGGGTGCCCAGGGCTTTTTCTGAGTCTGGGATGCAAAATGAGGTGCATAAGTTGTTGGCCTGATTTGCATGCAATCCTGGCATGGTGTATTCTAGGACAGCAAAGGTGGGTTCTAGAGTTCCAGCCCTGGATGACCTTACGGGACCCGACTGGCCTCAGATCCGTTACTGCGAGCATCGTGGGTTGTTGTGTAAATGTTGGGTTGCTGTGTGAATGCGCTGTTGTCTGGGAGGGGACTGTACCAGCATCCGGGACTGGTGCCCAGTGCGATGCCTGTCGCATTCCCAGAGTAAACCTCTCAGTGGCACCTGTATTTTAGGTGACGTGCCTATTACATATAAAGGAGAGCCCAGCTCAGATGCTGTTTTTATAATACAAACTGATTTTTCACCTTGCTAGTTTATTAGGGTGGTGGTTTCTATCCCCCAACCCCAAGAGTAAAGTGCAAATATTCTTGTTAAGCGAAAGACCAAAGTTCCTAACCAGTTTTAATAAAGCCTGTGACAAACTCAGAATGTCTTCCGAAAGATGGTGTTAATTCCAACTGGGGTGTTGGGAAAAGGGAGCCAGCGAAGTATGCATTTAGTATTGCCGTAACTCATATTCTGCATTCCGGCACCTCACCTGTTTCAATCAGAGAACCAAATGCTGCCTGTCTCGGAAAAAATGAAGAAGTTGCTGGCTGGCTATCAAGAAAGTCTGGGCTAGCAGGTAGATAGATGGAATTCCTTGGTATTTTGTTCCCATAAGAAAGTGCTGAATAAGAAATAAGAGAATCACTTGTCAAGGCTGCGTTAAGTCCTTAGGTTGTGGGGAGCTGAGCAGTTTCATGGAGATGCAAGGGAGTAGATTTTTACCATCCTGGGTCATGGGTGTGGTTGGCAGGCAGCCTGTTCCTGTGGGGTTACCTTGGCAGGCAGGCATAACCGTGCCATGAACTCGGCTCTTGCTAACTGTGGCAGTCTGCCCTGCGCCTGGAGCGGGAGCGTTCTGCACCAGGAGTTTTAACATTTCCTTTTTTAAGTAAAATGACACTGGCTTCATGATTTCAGGGACAAGCTTATTTGCCTGGCTTTTATTTCCAATTCTAGGAATATGTCATTTGGAAAACAGCAAAGCCATTGTAGAAAGAAAGGAGGCACGTGGCTTCCAGACCTGCAGTTCTTGCTTTGACAGCACGGCAGGCGTTCCTTCTCCTGGATATATTTTGAAAGTTAAATACAGCTCCTACTTGGGTTAGAGGGAATCTTGAAAGATGAGTAAGACTGTCCCTTTTCCCACCCCAGTTTTTTTTTTTTTCATACTTTTGATATTTATAAATCCTTGTTGGATGTCAGGAGCCGGCTTTCCCACAAAAGTTGTGAGCCCGGCTGTGTGTTTAGGATTTTTTTTGGGGGGTCCTTTTGGTTTATGGAAAACCTGCCATGTGTGCAGATAAAGAAATGGATGCTTTGAAAGCTGTAATGGAGGGGGTGAGATAACGGATTTTACAGAGGAAAGACCTTCGTCCACTGCTTCACTCCTCAAGTGGTCACCGTGGCCAGAGCTGAGCTGATCCAGAGCCGGGAGCGTGTTTTTGGGGTCTGCACGCGGCTGTGGGGTCTGGAGGCTTTGGGCCATCCTAGCTAGATGGGAAACTGAGCAGCCAGGACACAAACCAGTGCCCAGATGATGTCCTGGTGGTTGCAAGGTGAAGATTTAGCTCTAAGCCATCATGCTGAGCCCAAATGTCATGTTCTTGAAGTGGCTGGCCAGGGTAAATAAGAAGTGTTCATATATTTATTTGAGAAGTTCCCGTTTATTTCATAATCCTGGAACTCTCCGGTTGAATGCGCTCTGGGGGCTGAAAGTGGTACAGGTGGCTGGCTGGCCACCTCCGACTGGTTCTCCGCACAAGGTGGGGTTAATTTAAGCAGCACCCGATGCGTCTCACAGCAGTTCCCCAAGCCCTCCTGCCCCCCAGAACATGAGCTCAAGGTTCAGCTGTCTGATGCCGTGTTTTCATCTTTCCCCACCTCTCCTGTTGGAAAATGGCAAGGGGGGGGGGCCGAGATTCATTGTCCCAAGCCATCAAGCTGGCCTCTGGTGCTTAGCCCTCCAATGGAACATCCAGGCTTTGTCCATCCCTTGGAACGGAGAGAGGAGGGGAAGCTGGTGTGACCTCTTGCTTGGGAATTCAGGATTATTCCTTCCTTGGCTTTTGTACCAGTGCAGTTGACTGAGTGCATGGACTAGACTTATCATATTGCTAGGCTGCGGGGAGGGTCCTGAGGCCAGCGGCTCACCACCTTGTTTTGCCAGGTGCCCGTGGCTTTTCTCAGAAGCTCCCATTTGCTCCCTAGCATTGTAGGTGTGGCTCTCACAGAGACGGAGGATACACACCA